AAGGCTAAGGTTTTTCACTGATGTTAAAAGAAAAGACCATCTGTCAAGACCCCCTGCCTGTTTTGACTTCTCCAAACAGATTTTGTTTGTATGAATATATTTATTTACATGCCCTAAAGAGTAATAGTGGCTCAGTGCAGAGCTGAATGAATTAGGTTGAGAGCCAGATATTGAGAGTTTGATTCCCCACTGTGCCTCCTGTGAGTAGAGCCAGCCTGGGTAGCCTTGGGCAAGCTGCACAGTCCCAGGATTTCTCCTAGAAGAAGGAAATGGGAAACCACTTCTGAGTATTCTCTATCTGGAGAACCCTGAAAAAGGGTCTCCACAAGTCACAGTTGACTTGAAATGGTGGTGGTGGTGGTAGTGCTTAAAGAGAAAATATACCATAAGTGAGGAAGGAGCCCCTTTTTGTCCCTTTAACAAACAAGAGGAAAAAGATACATGAGATCCGGTTCCTATTCTTTCTGTATACACAGTGAGAACTAAAGCATCTCCAGGAGAGCAGAGAGGCAGAAGGGCATGCCTAGGACGGATCCTGCCCTAAAAGTTGCTGTTTGGGATCCTCAAGCTGCTTACTGAGCTTCTCGAAAACGGCTCCTTGCAGATTTTAATCTCCTTCACTTGAGCAACATCTAATGAGCTCGGAGGCAAATTTCTCCAATAAAACAGATTTAATTTCTCTCGGAGCCTTTTCGCCCTGGGATTTCAAAATCTTGTTGATTTAATGAGTTAATGTGCATTTTCCTACCTAGCCTGTATGCCCCCACATGTTGCTATTTGTCTGCTAGGTTGGCAGGAGGAACTGCCAGAGGAAAAGCTGGCCTTGTTTTTTTTAAAGTTTAGAACCAGCTTAAAATACCCTGGTTGAGTTCTCATCCGTTGCACTCCACAGTTTCCATTGGGAATCGGCTGAGCCCTTGAAGAACTGGCTTTCTGCTGAGAAGTCAGCCTTACAGGCTGGCCAGCATCCCTCCCTCCTGACTGTGTGGGATCTTACTTCAGAGTTCTCAGATGTCCATGCAAGAGATGGCCTGATCCAGTTGGTGCACCTTTAAGTTCAGTTAATGGGTTTTGTTCAGTGTTGCCCGAGACATTCTTGCCTGTAGGGCAGTTTGCAAAAAAGCAGGATCCTCTTTACAACGAGTGAGATGGACTCAGCGGAGAGCTGCTCCTTGTTCTTGTGTTTACCGGACATTGCTAGAGTAAGCACTTATTTTTTTCTTGACCCAACTTATTGGGTCAAACCATATATTGACACCTCACTTTTCTCCATCTGTTAAGGCACCAACGATAGCTCAGTGGGGCTTCTAGTAGAAAGCATTTACAGTACGCTTATTTTTCCTATTGTTGTATCACTTTGAGGAGCTCGGATTAGTTCTTACAGTACGCTTATTTTTCCTATTGTATCACTTTGAGGAGCTCGGATTAGTTTATGTATCACCTCCCTGAAGTCAGCCATCCAGAAATCTTACAGGACCAGATCTGATTTAATCTTGGTTTGGGCAGCTGCTAAAATGTATTTAAACACCATGGCCTATTGCCTTGTACCATGTGCCCAATTCTCCACTGCACATACTGTGGGGCTTTTGAGGCGTTTGTACGAGGGACAGATCCTCATACGAAGGCACAAGCCTTTTTGAAAGTGACAGGGAGAATGGCTCGTTTGCGCACAACGGCCAGAGAATGCAAGCACTCTCTGAGCAAGCCTGAAAGCTCTGGCCGCGAACTGTTTTCGTGCATTATCGCTATTATGCTTGAACATGTTTTTATCTCTGCTCTTGGTTTCTTATTTTTCTGGTGTGAGAGTGTGATCACACAGGGAAATAGATCACAATTTGGACTACTTGTGGAGTGGTCGGATGTGAACTGTTCCCCCAGTGATCACATCTTGTATGAGTTACTGGGCGTATGAGTTATGTTAAAAGGTCAGTCTAAGCTTTGTTTGGTTTTTAAAATAGGGTGTCCTCTTGGGATCTTGTGGAGCCACACCTACTCAACTTCCACACCTTTCCGGTGTGGAAGTCCCTTTGTCCTTTGTGAAGAAGCCTATTCCACTGGTTGTTCTGGGTTTTTTGGGCTCTTTGGCCGTGTTCTGAAGGTTGTTCTTCCTGACGTTTCGCCAGTCTCTGTAGCCGGCATCTTCAGAGGACAGCAAAGCCTATTCCACCTCATTGGATACTTGGGTCGAACCTGCTTTGTGGGCCTTCCCCAGAGTCCAACCGATCATTCCTGCCTCCTTGCTTTGGGTGGCTTTGCATCACTCTTCCAGGCTCTGTGCCCTTTCCCTCTGCTGCTCCTGCTGCTAGGAAATAGCAGGAAACATTTCCTATAAATTATGATAGTTGGGCACCCGTTTCAAGGCTAGCACCCAGGACATATGTCCTACTCTTGCGGGTGGGTGAGGTGGCTTCCAATGCCATTATTCTCCATTTCTGAAATGAGAATTATAGCCTTCGCTGCCTGGCAGGAGTGTCACAAGGACAAACGCATTAACAGTTTTGAAGTGTTCAGATGTTGCGATAAAAAGATGCAGGTTCACATAAGAGGATGTGATGGATACCTTGAGGGCTGCAGTACATAAGTGTTTCTATAATAAGATAACATTATATTCTTTGTTAAGGGACATTGTCCTTACGTTGCCCATCCGGTACATTTCTCTCTCTCTCTCTCTCTCTCTCTCTCTCTCTCTCTTGAAGGAAATCATCTTTGATCTTAAGTATTCTTGAATGTCAGAAATCTTGTTTATTACAAAACAAACAAAATAGGTTTGTCAGACAGTGGGTTAAGCAATTTTTCCCCCCACCCCCTGGCCGGCAAGGAGAAAAATGGCCCATCTGATCTAGCCTTCAGTGCAGCTTGTCTAAGACACAAATCATTGTAAATGTCAGATGCCCTGAGAAGGAAAGAGCTGAGCTGAGTTCAGCTTTAATTAAGGTTGAAATATTGGAGGTGACTGCTGAGTCTTAGGCAAATTGGCTCAGCCTGTTATCAGGAGGCATGAAAATTAACTACCCTAGGATTTGGTGAAAAATAAACACATTTCTGTCATTGGAATGTTCCAGTTTGGGTTGCTGAATCTCATGCTTGTTTATATCGGGATCAGGGGGTCAAGGATGTAGACTTTGTGCAATCAGATATCGGAGGGTGGACCTAAAACTCTTGTTTCTGAAAGCACATAGGAAAACTTGACACAGTCATTCATTGCTGCTATAATTCCGGAAGATAAGAGACGAAATGCCATTGAGCGATTGGATTTTATCTTCTAACGGCACTGGATGGTGAGGACGTTGTTTTGTGAAATCGGCTGTCATGTCAGCTGCCAGCCTTTTGTCTGTGAAAGTCTTTTTGCCTTGATACATGAGGGACATCTTGTAAATATATTTTTAGGGAACCAAAAAAGAAGCAACGATGGCAATAGGTTTGTTGGTTGCATCTTCTTGATGTCTGTGAGGGCAGTGAAGTATTTCATCCTTAGCAAATGTCAGAAAGAGGTGAAATTAACAATAAATGGTATTTCTGAGCTTCCCAAGAGACTAACCTGTTGGTAGTTTTAAAGGACCATCTGTGTACTAGCCCATGACATGCTTCTGTGGCCCCAAGCATGGAGGTTAATGTCATTCCATGGGAGATTAATGTCATGGCCCCATATCCATAACTGGATATGGGGCCAAACAGCCCAAATAACTGGATACGAGTTTTAGCCTCCAAATTATTTAGTCTAGTATTTCCTGCAGAGATGGGAAACACTTACCTGGGCTTCAGCATTTCAGAACTGCTCTTGGAACTCGCATAACCTGAATTTTCCTCCATTAAAAATATGGAATACTGCCTATAAAAAGTAGGGAGAACATTTCTAGCTGTGCCTTCTTCTAATAGTGTTCTAAATGCAGAGATTTTGTTCTGGCATAGACACAAAAAATGCTGTGTTTGGACAAAAATCTCCTTGTTAAAGGCAGGAGCTCCCAGTCATGTAGAACTCTCTTATGTGCATTAACTCATATATGCATTAATCAGCAAGAAATTTTTCAGTAGATGTTTACATCCAGAAAAATCCTTCCTCGGGAGAAGATATTTTTGAAGCCATTAGTTGTCATACAGTGTGGGCAGATATATATCTCACACACACACAAATGATCGGCATCAGTCATGGGGAAAAAGAAGCATATAACCACTCTTTCCTAGCGCACCCTTACAAAATGACCCGTTTCATCGTGGTTCTTGTCTCCTGTTGCCCCCTGAAATTCTCCTAAAATAAAGTCCATCAGCAGGTCTGAGGGATGGGAGTTTGTCCTAGTAGACTTTTGATTTCTCTGTGAGGTCACTGAAAAACAGTTCTGGAGGAATTGAACATAGTGATCTGGGAAATTTGTGTCTGTAATCAGAGAGAGATGCGCACAGACATCTTTGTATGTGTGATCGGGGGGGACGGACTAAATTAAACACAGACGAAACATCCACATTTTTACAACTAGCTGTTTATTGTTATCAGAATCCAGGACATTTCTGGTGTTACATTTTCAAATGTCTCAATTTAATTCCACTACTTAAGGAGTAGATTTCTTCAATCTTTTGCTATTTTAACCCATCCCAGTTTCTTGTACGAGTCAGTTTCTTCATGAATCCTCGCTGTTATTTGTTCTGTAATTGCTCTTATTTGCTGCTTCCAATTTCTTGGGAATGTGAAATTTTGAACATTGCCCACGAACACGCAGCTTGGAGAAGGCGCTCCAGCCGGTCTCTTGTTTTAGGCGTTAACTTGGGAGAGTAATGAGGGATGTTGTGAGAACTCCCCTTGTGAGAGGAGGAAAACAAGAGGTGGGAATCCAAGCTGGCCCCAAGCCTGTGGGGTGGGACTCGCTGTCCCTAACAAGGTGATGCTTCTGGGTCAGTACTCGTTAAGCTTTGACCACTTCCCTTTCGGGCGGAACAGGCAAATCATCCAGCGCATCCACAGCATGTTTTTGCACATCAGTTTTGCCTTATTCTTTTTCTCCCTCAAGGTCCGGCCTCGAATGACAAAGCCGAAGCGAAAGCAGGAGGTCTCCTCAAGGTGTCTGGGCTGGAGCGCAGCCAGGAACTGAACACTGACGTGCCCTTTGTGCTGCCACTCCACAGCCCCCCGCCGACCACGACCGTCGTGACTTCCAGCTCCTCCGCGCCCACGTCAAGCGCTCGGGCGAGCCCGCTGTTGAAAAAAGAGCCATTGATCTCAGCACCAGCACCGCCGAGGCTCACCCCTCGGCCCCAGTCGCAGCCCCAGCCTCGGCCCCAGTCGCAGCCCCAGCTGCTCCCTGAGCTTCGGACGCAGCCTCCGAGCCACCTGCCCTTGCCGCTTGGTTACCAGGTGCATCACCAGGTGGCCCACAACGGACTCAATACGATCAGGTGGGCAGGTCAGGTGCCTTCGAGGCTCTACTCTCTGTAATGTGCCGATGGCGGCGGCTGGTTGAATCCTGCAAACCCAGTCTTATTCTAATCACTTTTCTTCTCACCTAGCTCATCTTGAAAACCATCTGAATGTTCTGAGCCCCCTTCTTGTTTGCTTGAAGGACCTCCAGGAGGGTTCCAAGCACACACATGATTTCTACAGGACTGTCCTTTCCTTTGACAGCTTTCCCTCTTTCGAAACATCCCACCCCCCATTACCTTAGCCTTAGCAAAAGAGAGGGGGGTAATTGATAATTGGCAGCCTACAAAGATCTCTTCATGCCGTTTCCAGCATGTGTGTTTTGGGCTCGGGGGAAGCCCTCTGTGGTGTCGTAATGAGGGATAGTTTCCATTTTCTTCAATGTTTTAGCTATCTGTTTCAGGATGAGGATTGGAGAATGGAGTTTGCAGTATCCTTAGATCGCAGGGTACTTTAAAATTGTTACAACCAAAGACTGTGGAAAGAAATTCTGTGAGGACGGGGTGGGTTTCTGACATCTTGATGTGGAAGAAGCCCACTTGAAAGGGGAAAGAATGCAACACCGAGCAGGGGTTCCCAACCTTGAGTCCCCAGATGGTCTTGGACTGGAACTCCCAGAAGTCTTCGCCATTTGCTGTGCTGGCCAGGATTTGGGAGTTGTAGTCCAAGAATGTCTGGGGACCCAAGGTTGGGAACCACGACCTAGAGGATTCTTTTCCAGTTCAGATTGGTAAGTCTGCGTGGATTCCACACAGGACATTTCTCATAGATCCCAACAGTAGATCCTCTTGCTGAGACACTTTCACAGATGCCAGTATTTTGCTGAACGTGAGTTGTCTGCTTCTTTTCTAACGACCGTTTCTTTCATTCCCTTTCTCTCTTTCCCCCCTTCCCTTTTCCTTTGTTTTTAGATGCTGGTATTTTGCTGAACGTGAGTTTGTCTGCTCCTTTTCTAATGACCGTTTCTTTCATTCCCTTTCTCTTTCTTTCCCCCCTTCCCTTTTCCTTTGTTTTTGTTTTCACAGCAGAAGCAGCAGCGCCAGCAGCGCGACAAGCATCAGCCTCCCCAAACACCTCCCCCTCTCACCCCAGATCCCTCCCCACCATTCTTCTGGCCCTGCTTTACCCCTCTCCATCTCGAACCTCGCTGCCTCGCATTTCCCTCTCCGATCGCAGTCCCAACACCAGCACCATCCGGCCATGTTTGCCACCCCTCCTACGCTCCCACCTCCTCCAGCGTTGCCCACCAACAGCCTTGTGATCCCAGGTCACCCTGCAGGTAAGGTGCTGCCCATTCTTGCGGTGGGTTTCGTGCTAAAAATGCACCTCTTTTTTTAAAAAAAAATTATTCTTATTATTATTTTGATGCCAAATGGTCAGGCTGAATATGTAGGCAAGGAGAAGTGAAGACCACAAGGGCACTCCTTCACTCCAGTTGGCCTTTCAAAAACAACGGGAACGTTGTTGGAACTAAGGAAGGCGTGCTGAAACGGGGCCTCGAAGGCGATGAGATCAGTTCTGTGTGCCAGTGCCCCCACTTGTGAACTGGTCAGCGTACCCCTCTAGAGACAAGCTGAAGTTGTCAAGTGGTCCTTACATTACAGAGGGTCTGAAGGAAGTGAATGGAATAAACTTTCCATCTGTTAACGTTGTAGGACTGTGAGAGACGAGAGAGAATGTTATCGTAACTAGCTAAAAATATGGAGAAAGAATGAAAGGAGGAAGGAAACTCCCTTCATAGAAACAAAGAAGCTGCAATAACTCATCAGATTAATTGTCCATCTAGCTGAGGATCATTTTCGAGCTGGCTCCTGTCCTCGAGGGCCGTAAGTAGAGAGAGATTGTTCCCGTCACCTGCTACCTAATCCCTTTGGCAGGAGATGCCAGGGATGGAACCTGAGACGTCCTGTGTGCACACATGAGTTATATTCCCTTCCTGAACCCAAGATAATTAGCAGAGAAGGTTGAAAAGTCGGGCCTGCTAAGACAGACCGTCAGCAAGCGAGGAAGATCTCTGTCTTTCATCTCGCGTCTCCTTGGGGACAGCTTGCTCGGTTATTGCCGAATGTGATCTCTCTGGGTTCTTCTGCCCCATATGATGTCGTATCACCGATCCCATATTGTTACATCACCGCGTTTGCATTACCCTGAGAGGAGTTGAGCATGATGGCGCCACAACACAGGCGAACTTGGGCTGCTCCTTGCAGTGCAAGGAAGGCCGATACACTTCCACAAGGGCTCCTTCCCATTCCGCTTAACTTCACTGCACACGCTTTTTAATCTAAAAATCCCCCCCCTTTCCCTTCCAACTCTGCTGGCTTTTTTAGATTCCTCCTCCGCTTCTTCGTCATAGGAATTTAGAGCTTCAGTGCTCTTTATGATGAATTTTTGAATGGGGAACAGTTCCTGGAAAGCCCTTTAGATGAGGAAAGCAGCAGAGTATGTGCTTCACCCTAGGACAGTCCTGCCACTGAGGAGGAAGTGAAAGGATCTGCATCTGGGTGAAACCCAAAGAGGCAGCACAGCTGGACGTGGAATATTTCCCTGCTCTAAGAATCTCGACAGTAGTCAGCGATTCTGGTTCTGGGTCATCATTTAAGCTGTCTTCCCCTCTTGAATGTCAGGCCACTTAGCTTTCTGGGGAAGACAAATCTTTTCTTCCCGCCGCCTGTGAGGAATTCTCTACATATCCTTAAAAATGTGTGTCTGTTCCAGTTTGTTAAACACCCCTTTTATAGCTTTCCCATTAGCCTACAGCTGTTGCGTTGGCAGCTGGCGGCTTCTGTGGTGCTGTCGCCCACCGGGGGCCCCCTTTTGATCTGGCATTTGACTCTGTAACTAACCCAGTGGGGATTAAAACGGACACACATTTACCCTCCACCCCCTCCTCTTGCGGTTCCGACAAAAGCTGGCTGACAAGTTGAGGTGGGGATGTCTCAAGGTTGAAAGCAGCGATGCTTCCCCTCCCTCTCACAGATACCGCCTTCAAATCTCTTTTTCGGAGTGCTCTGAACCTAAAAGGTGTGAAAAAGGAAAAAGGGAATAAACTGGCTAGAGGGGGGCCCTTACACGAAATTCCCCAGCTCTTGTTTCATCGAAGAATTGGCCTACAGGAGGGCACCAGAAAGGGAATCCAAAATATAATTGGATTGTATAGCGCATGCCCTACTCTTAACCACAGTTTCTTCCCATGCTGATCGTAAAAAGAGGCTTAGAAACGTGAGAGGCTCCCCTGTAGAGCAGTGGAAACTAGGACAAAAATCATGAAAATGTTCAACTGTAGCTGGAAGTCAGCTTGGAACTCATAGTCTGCACTGAAGATCTGCGCGTCTATCTAAATTTGGAACGGCGCAGTAAAAGCCACCAGCTGCGGCCCATGAACTTGTGAACTGATGGGTACCCTGCAGAGATGGGGATACCCTCGGGAGGCTGACAGTTGAGCAGGTGGAAGATCAAAGTGTAGAGGCAGCTCCAAAGTATGCTCTGCCTGCTGAATACCTGGAAGCTCATGACCAGAATACCAGGTTCTTAACTCCAGTGATAAACAAACCATGATAAACAAACCATGGTTTCTTGTGATTCATGAATTGGGCCTATATCATGAGTCTGAGCCAGGCCATGGGGGTCATGCACAGATCTGGTCCTAAAGATTGTCCAGTTTAGGATAGCGATTTGAGGTATGCAGTGGAAGGGGTGATGCCTACAGATACTACTTTAAATCCATGATATTCATGTCATGGCTGGCTGTATGTTTCACGCTTCCATTCCCTTCCGTTTTTATGGGAAATGGCGCATACCTCCATTCTCTTCCATGCCAGCACCACATGTCTCCCTTCAGTGGCTTTCTGCCATGATAGAAACAGTACTGATCTAAAAGTTTTAAAGGAGGTGTTGGGGGGAGGGGCAGGCGGAATCTAGGAAATCTGGGGCAGAAAAGGTGAAAGCAGTTCAGTGCAATTCCTCATCTCAATAGTGTTGCCCACTTCTAATGTGGAATAAAGACTGTGAGCTCCTGCATTCCCGAGGGGTTTACTAGATCAGATTGCAGCTTCAAGTCTGGACATCTCCAGTTCAAGCCAAGACAAGTGTCTCCAGCATCTGGTACAGGGATGATGAGTGAGTCACTAGTTCAGTTATAATCTCTGCCATGAACGCCCTTCTTTGCTTTAGTTATGTCTTCCTCTCTAAGCTTTAGACCATCTGTGAGACAAAGGTAATAAAGTAGACCTGTCTCTGAAAAGAAAGATGATAATGTGTTTGGAGAGGCTTAAAGTTCAGTAGCAGAGTTATAAGCTTTTCGTGCAAGTGAGCCCAGGTCCTGCCACTCAAAAGGACGCAAAGCATGTGCTTTGGCACAGAGCTGTGTGTCTTCCTCTCAGTCAGGAGTCTGGAAGCAAGATATGGCAACGTTCTGTGCCTGAGAACCCGGAAAGCTGCAGCCAGTCAGAGCAGAATACACTGGGATAGATGGATGCACCATGCTCCCCAGTCTACAGTAGCGTCCTGTGCATGGAGCCGTTTAAAGACTCCAAACGGCTCTAGCATTAAATATTGTGTTACTCTCCCCTCGACATTTGGCTTTCGCTTCCAGAAATGGCCACATGCCAAAGCTGTCTGAAGCCTCAGTGTGCACCACCACGGCAGTTCTGTGATTTAATGGAGAATCTTCGTTGCGGACGCAGACTGTTCCTCTACATGGTAAAGAGGGAGAGGTAGTCCATAGCAGCAGTCGGCCACTGCACCAACAGCAGGGAACAACTGCTTTTCCAAGTTCTTCATGAAGAGATGCATTCAGTTCTATGCATGTTTGTGAATAACACAGCTAGTTGTACTGCCAAATTACTCGGTATCTCATTTCTTTAAAAGACTTGAAGCCATCCTGCTGGATCTTCGTCCTCCCCACGTGGGCGCAAATAGAAGACAGAAACCGGTTTGGCCTCCCCAACATTTGGCTGTCCTGTTAGAATCTCTCCCCAGCAGTTGCTGCTTTTGTGGGCCTGGCCCGCACTTGCGTTTTTTCTTCTCTTAACGGCACTGGTGAAGCTTCAGTGTCATCCTGAAATTTGGAGCCAGCTGCAGTTCCATCAGGGTGGCTTCAAGACTTCGAAAGAAAGGAGATACTGAGTAACTTAGCAGCTGCCAATTTTTAAATCCCTGGCTCTTCGCTTCTCCCCCCCCTTGCCTCCCCCCCCCGGGAAACACAAAGTGGATTATCTTGATACCAACAGAAGTATCCAATTGCCTAAATCAAATCAGATTTCCCCACCCATCCAAAACTGAATTAAGAATTTAGTAATAGTAGTAGTAGTAATATGTGTAGAGTAAAACTTGTACCAGATCTGCTCCCTATAATGCAAATAAAAAACATGCTTTATTGCTTTCCTCCTAGGAATATAAAAATACTCCAGATAAACACAACAGAGGCTGGAGGGGGGAACGGGTCTTACTAACCATGGCTGGTCTCCCCTCCACCCCATGCTTTTCACCTCAATTGAGCTTTGTTGCTTCAAGTGAACTTGGTTTGCGTAGGGCCCCGCTCCTGGAGAAAAGAGGCTAAGGCAGCCTGCACCAGCCCAGTGCACACAGCTGCCATTATCCAGCATAGAGTCCAGCTCATTTGGAAATTGCTGGGCTTATTGGCAGTAGATGATTTGAGAGTTTGGGGTTTTCTTCTTCTAAAAGGATCGTATATCATGTGATAAGCAATGCTCACCGTCTGCTATTAGCTCCAAGTAATCCTGGAGGGGCCTCCCTTTGTGGCAAGCAGCAGCTGATCCGGGAGGCTTTGAAGCAAAAATTTAAATGGTATTTACAGCAAACCATAAGTATATCATTACTGCCCTATAGCTATAAGCTTTCCTTTTTAAAGACAGTGGTGTCCCCTTCACCCAGCAGCACACTTTTTTTCTTCTTCTTCTTCTTTTGGCCTTCCACAGACCGTGCAAACCTAATCCTTCAAATTATTTTAATTGTGTTGAAAGTAATAGGAGCTGAAAGTTCTCTGAACCGTAAAGGATTATGCGTTGTGTCAGGTTTGCTTTTCAGAAAAAAACACACAACCAAGACGAGCCATCCGTAGCTCTGGGCCTTAGGAAAGACAAAGGAGTCTGGGGTACAATACTGTTCTCAGACTATATTTGCAAGAATGGTGTGGCTTTACCCTAACAACCCCTGAGCTTACTTTAGACTCCTCTTTTTCCTAGACGGGAGATAAAAAGCAAGGCAGCAGTAAATATCCAAATTCTGAATTTCTGAACTGTTCTGAATCTGTGTTCTAAGTCGGACCCTCTGTATCTTCTCCCTTGAGATCCTTCGCCCACCAGTATATAGAAGGGGTGCTTTTTTTCCTAGGAAGAATCTGAACTCTGTGGCCACTGTTTCTTACACTGAGGAAGTAGACCATGGAAATAAGAGAATATGAAGGAAGGGGTAGAGAAGGATTTAATGGGTTACAGCGGTGCCTCGCTAGACAGTTACCCCACATGACAGTTTTTTCGCTCGACATTGACTTTTTGCAATCGCTATAGCGATTCGCAAAACAGTGATTCCTATGGGGGAATTTCGCTGACAATGTTTGGTCCCTGCTTTGCAAACCAATTTTTGCTAGAGAATGATTATGACAGCTCCCTCGATGCTCGCAAAATGGGTGTTTTCGGGACCTAAGCTTTGCAAGACAGCGATTTAAACAGCTGATCGGTGGTTTGCAAAGCGGCTTTCCTATGGCTGATCTTCACTAGACAACGACGATTCTTCCCCATTGGAACGCATTAAACAGGTTTCAGTGCATTCCAATGGGGAAATGCTTTTCGCTAGACGATTTCGCTAAACAGCGATTTCAGTGGAACAGATTATCATCGTCTAGCAAGGCACCACTGTATTTTCCAAAGGCATGAGTAAACAAGTGCAGAAATGGCTTCCTCTGTTTATCAGTGCTGGCCATGGCTCTTTCTGTACTGTTGCTCTTATGGAGATAGGCTATACAGATAAACAGGCACACATGTAGCTGCTTCTATTTGGGGTTTTACCCCTGACATTTCAGAAATGGAGGCAATTGAATTAGTTAGCCAATGTCATGTTGTTTCCATCTGAATCTTCCAAAACACAGATAGACTGCACTTGTTTGTATTTTGGAATGCATTTCCATGTTACTGTAGGTACTATTGTGACAGCTAAGAAAATATGAACAATCCTCCCCTAGCTATAAGTGATCATTTTTATTGATAATTTTGCAATGTATTTAATCCTTAGGAGAGATTCCGATTTCTGCTTCCAGAGTGTTAAAATAGGTTTTTGACATAAGTGCGAACAATTAAAAGCAAGGCCATTAACGGCTTTAAAGATCAGCAATTTTTGAATGTGACTTGCAGATCTCCAAATGGCTTATGAAGTATGTTAGCCGGGGAATTAATACCTGTCTTTTCACCTGGAGTAACTCAACTGTGAATAGAATTGCCACATCGTGGCATCCTGCTATTGTGCTGGCTCCGAGAAAGCTACAGGAAACTGGATCATTTACCCAGCTGCCTACACCAATGTAGAATTTTACTATTAACCAGGGGAGAGCTTTGCAATATTCTTAAAACTGACCTCATATAAAATTAGTTATGCATTATTAGTTCAACTGATAACTGGATTTTCAGCTTCTTGACTCTGAAGAAAACTGCATTTTAAACCTATTATCTGGGAAAGTGCTTCAAAGTTTTGTTTCAGTATCTTTACAGTAATGTTTAATTTCTTGCAAGATGCCCTGGGAAGCTGCTTGAAGGGTGGGGTGGAAAGCAATTAAATAAATAAATACAAGTCATATTTTTAAAAGATGTAAATGTGTTTATATTTCAGTTTCGTTTTTTAAACTTTTTTTGTTGTTTTTGGTTCAAAAATTCTCCCAGCCCACTAATCCATTGCAGGAGAACTGTAGGCACTGCAGATGGACATGTATTTGGTTTTCTTCCATGCTATACAGATCTTGTAAACATGCAGGGAACTTGTCATATATGTGTGTGATTTTATAAAATAATGTATATTATGTGTGTAAAGATAGATAGATAGATAGATAGATAGATAGATAGATAGATAGATAGATAGATAGATAGATAGATAGATAGATAGATAGATAGATAGATAGATAGATAGATAGATAGATTCTTCCGTTATTTTCAGAAGTGTTGTGGGATGGAAAGAAGGAAGGAAGGAAGGAAAGGGCGGTTGGATATGTTGCTTTCTCCTAACCCCCAAATGTCCCCGTTTCTTAGGCTGGGAGGAGGGTCAGGGTTGGGGCCATGGGAGAGTTTGTTAATAAGCCCCCGTATGTTTTCTGCTGTGATGACTCATGGTGTTCTTTCTTGTCTTTAGATACCAGCCTGTTGATATCATTCAACCAACCAATCATGTATTGCCAGCCTCATTCGGGGATTCTGATTGGTACTTTGTCACAGGCATCTCTCTTACCTCCACCAATGAGTCCTCACGTAGAAAACCACCACAGCATGACCTGCAGAAACAGGGAATGCCAGGTGAATATCTTGACTCTTTTACTTCTATGTCTTTGTGAAACTCACAGGCTGTTGTGCCCTTGTGTCTTTTTCTCCCCCACCCTTCTCCTCCTCCTCCTCCTCCTCTCCCACCCCACCCCACCCTGTCCCCCATCTTTCTCCCCTCTTCTAGATCACGAGGTGCTCAGGCAAGAGCTGGACAACCGGTTTTTGGTTCAGAGTTCGGACCGGGCGGCCGCCTCTCTCGGCCCGGTGCCGCTGCTCAGGGCGGAGTTCCACCAGCACCAACACACCCACCAGCACCAACACACCCACCAGCACACATTCACACCTTTTCCATCCGGCCTGCCCCAGATGCCGCCCTCCGCACCTCCCCTGGTGCGTACCCCCTCTCAAAATGTGAGGATAAGTAGAAAGTCCGCTGGCTTAAAATTTTTTAAAAAGTCCTTCCACCACCAGCTCTCTTCTGGATAGACACTCAAAGCCATCCCTCTTCCTCTTAAGTGTGACTTCCCGTTCTAAACTTACAACTGTTATAGTGTGAGTTGTGCCTTTTCAAAATAGTTCTTGGTAGAGGTGTGTACATTGGTGTTTTGAGATGTCAACTGCCCTAGGAATTCCTAAAAATACAAATCTGCTCACCGCTTGCTCTTCCAACCTGCTACTTCTTCTCAATGGTTTTTGAAGACTTCCTCCTCGTTCCCTCAGAGGTGTTTCTAGAATGAATGGGTCACGCTGGCAGTCTAGGCACTTATCATAATGGTTCCTTGACCTAGGGACCGGAAAGAGAGCACACTTCCATCTTTCTGTAGACTTCATAAAGGGATTCCACAGTATTCCTGCGTCTATAAAAAATGTAACATGAGAAAAAGCTGCTACACATGCATGCATTTCATTGGCTGGAAGGATGGGGGTGCAGTCATGTTACTGTAAAGAACCACAGTGTGGCAAGTAAGAGGGCTGGAGGTGGCTAAAAGTTGCATTTAGGTGATGTCAAATACAAGGGAGAGAGACACAAAAGTTACTTTGACAAAGAGATTTTGTTTGGCCACAGTTTGCTATACTAATTTCCCTGTGCTGCTTGGCTTAAATATTCTTGCTGCATTACCATGTTGGGGGGTAACCACCCACCTCTGATGTCTTGAACTTCACATGTGATTTAGGCAGTCAACCGAATGAGAACGGGATGTCTTGTGTCTCCAGAATCCACCATGTTGTACAGTTTAGCATTTGCTTAAGACATAAGCAGTGACTTTCACCAGCACACATTCAGATTGTTTTAACATCACTTCCCAGATGAACCAGCTAGTAAACCTCTCCTGCTTGGGCACAACACCATCCGCCAGGGTATGAAACTCTAACTGAAAAGCTAGAATACAGTACTGAAGTATTCAGAGGGCCCGTTTCCTGCAAAACAGCAGCGGAAACAAAGAAACCAAAATGTACACAGTAACAAAAGTCTGCTTCTTTAGGCCTACTTTTTCAGGTTTTATAGTGGTTTGACTTATTTCTTCTCTAGTGCAATTCTTCCACAAGGTTTTTTTTTTCAAGCAAGGCAGTGTTTGTTTTCCATACATTGCGTAAACCAGGATTCAACTTTGCCCTTTTCCGAAGGAGCACTTTGTACTTTATTTCCTCTCCCCTTTCCTCTTCTAGCCGAGGAACCAATGTTCCAAAACAGCATTTTGGGGCAGACTCATGGGATACGCCATTTCTTGCTTTTTCTTTCCTGCCGTTTTTTTGACAGCATGAGGACATTGTTCATTTCTATAATCCTCTTAACTGCAGAACAATGAGAGCCATTTCTGCCACCCCACGTCCCTCCCCAGGTGCCTGAACGTGGTGCAAATACCTTCCTCTCATTTTTCCCCTTCTGGGTAAAGCCGTGTCAAAACTTCTCCTTGAAGTCCTGGCAACGTTGCTCAAGAATCCTGATATCTGATCTCCTGAAAAACCTCCCCTACCTAGTTGGTGTCAGGCCGAACACCAAAAACAGCTTTTGCCGCACCCTCTTTTGTCATGTTTGCGTTCACATCTTCTTATATTCCACTAAATGAGTTTATTAATCCTATTGCCAGAACGGGTGGTGTTGAAACCGCCAGCTGCATGTGTTTTAGTAATTTATGGTATTTACACTGGAGGGTACATGACTCCAGTAATAACTGTAATTAACACAATTGCAAATCTGCTCTCCTGTGTGGAGGAGAGCGCACAACAACAGCTGGCTTGCTGAACGAGTGGCATTTTAGAGGGGTCATTGCTCACCATCCAGTGTCCTCTCTCAACACATTCCCCTATTACTCCAGGCTGGATTGCATTCATTCTTCAAAAGGTGTGGTAAGAATAGTCACGGAAGTACAGGTCTGATGCATTGTGCTCTAAAATAGATTGCAAGAGGGTGAAATATTGGAGCAAAGAACAAGGTGGATGTTGAGTTCTTACAGCAACCTTGTGTTAACTTTTATTATGTCTCTTTTCAAGGAGGTGAAGTGACCAAATTACGAAAGGGTTGTCTAACAAAAATGAGATGAGGGGGAGTGGCGGTGAGAGATGATGTGGGCTATAAAGCATTCAGACTGGAGCAATGAAGTGTATCCCGTCTTGGGCCTGGATTAAAATCAGTGATGGATTCACCAGATGGCCTTGGGACAAATCAGACAGATGCCTCCTGGGCTGTTGGAAGGGAAATAATAGTGACTTCCCTCGCAGGCTTGCCACAGAGACAGATTACAAGAATAAAGACGTAAAGATTAAAAATGAGTGCCTCCATGACCTTACGGTTGGGCAGGATCTAGATGTTCTTCTTAAGCTCAAAGAGGAGAGAGACAGCATCTTCACCTTGGAAAATTAATTGGGCTGTTAGTTGGTTTCTTGGGAGACAATAGGGAGGGTAGCAATACCTGCTGAATGACTAGGCTTTTGCTGCATCACACTGCCAAAAAATAAATAAATCTAGGCTTGAGAGCACAGGGATGGGTGAAGAGTTCATTGGGGTTCTTTAAAGAACAGAACAGAACAAAAACTAGCCATATTGTTCCCTGTGCCATAAACATATGCCTTTGACTTCATTCAAATATTGCAGAAGAGCAAACTCACCTTTTGTCTTCTTTCTGTTCTCCTTTCAGTTCGACAAGTACGCTCCCAAACTGGATAACCCTTATTTTCGACATTCCAATGTGAGTGCTTTTGTGGGTTCTGGCTTTTAAGGCAGGATCTTTTATGTCTTTGCACTTGATGATATTTTCCGTATGTGTGTGTTGCTGCTGCATGTTTTAGCTATGTCTCTGTGGAGTTTGTTCTATTGACTGTAAAATTCACTCCTTTTGACTTTATCCAGATCTCTAGTATGAGAACAGTAGCTAATGAGTTTAGGCATTTGTGAAATTCCAGGTGATAGTTCTTTCTAACACATCATCTGTGGCTAAAATCTTGTTGCTTAGCATAGTAAGTTACAACTAGAGTAGGCCCACTGACTTAATGGAACTTATGGATGAGTTGACTCACCACGTTTCCACTGGGCCTCTTCTAGTTGCAAATTAATACATTAAGCAACAGGATTTCAGCTAATCTAGCATAATCTCTTTTAAAACATATTGCTTCTTTAACTGGTGAATCCGGTCCATATCATAAATGTGCCCAACTGCCATATTCACCCGCAATAAAAGACAGTTGCGTGGAAATACAACTTCAGTATTCCTGACATTGTGATAAATCATTTTCAGATTCTTCTCACAAGCTGAGAAGTGCTGTAGACCAAAATATAGCACTCTTTTAAAAACTATAAATATTGAAAGCATCCCATTGATAATCAACCATAGAAGTATCTATAAAGCATTTATAAATGAACCAAACAACTGTTGTCATACGAGTGTCAGAGGTGCACCAGCAATAATGGCATGTCTTTTTTTTTTTAAGTTAGACCTGGAGAGCAATAAATCCAGATGGCCTAGTGAGATTTCACTGGCAAGTTTTGCTAGTGGTCTTGCCAAAGCCCTGATCTCTCCTTGGCCAGAGGAGGGGATGGAGATCACTCTTCCATATGTCCCCTGCTGAATCACAGAGATGTGTATTATTCAGAGTTCCTGAGGGCAGTAAAACAGTTGGGTCTTAGGACTAGAGTCCCAGTAACTGAAGGTTTATAGCAAACAATTAAAAGCCGGGTAAGAACACACCACTGAGCATATTTTCAGGTAGCAGAAGTGGCGCAGAGATGTTATAATTGCATCTATAATTGCAGTCTTCAGTTGGTGAAGGGCATCCTTTGAGTAGCCCTGGCAGTGCTTGGAATGTCATTTATATGGACTACCGTTCCCAGAATTCCCCAGCCCACACGGCATCCTGGGAGCTACAATGCAAAAGGCTAACTTTTCTAAGCTCTGGCACAGAACAGCTGGAACCCTCTGGACCTGGCTGTGCCCATTTTCTGTACACATTACAGATGAAATCGCTCACATCTGAACCCCGATAACAGTTGTACCAGTCAGAAGCAGAGGCCGCTTACACCCTGTGGAGCCACATATTTGTGAATGTGCTCAGGCCTCTGCAGCTCAGTGGTGTGGTCCAGCTGCCCTTCTGGGAAACAAGGGTCAAGTGTGTTAAAAGATGGAAACTGTGAGATTGAAATGGAAAGGGAAAATCATTGGCAATGTATGTAACTGGTACAATATTGGTGTACCATTTCAATCTCACCTTTTTTCATCTTTAACACACTACGCAAGGCTACTTGAACCGCAGGTGTCCATCCACGCATTAACGTAATTTCTGAAGGCTCTGCTGATCTGCCCAAAGTGTAGGAAATGTGGGCATAAGAAAGAATGCATGTTAATGAGCCACTGCCCCACACGTAGAGAACTTTTGTACTCGTTCTTGCGTGATACCAACATCGTAAGCTTCCAAACTGGCATTAAAGACTTGTTTGTTTTGAAGAGCCTTTTAAAATATATATATTTTGTGGCCATTAATGGATCCATTAATATTCCTGTGCAGTGTCAGATGTTGCTGTGCTGTTGTTTTGTTCTTGAGTCATCTTCTGCTCTCTTCCATGTTGTTTTGCTTTTGTTACGATTTTACATTCTTCTGTAAGAAGCCATTTTTCAAGACCTCACCCCAAAAAGTGGCCTGAAAATGTTTAAGACAAAAAAAAAAAAAAAAAAAAAAGCTTTCAAGACCTCACCCCAAAAGGTGGCCTGAAAATGTTTAAGACCAAAAAATGAGAAAGAAAAAATCAATCAGCACACAAATATAGAAGCTTTCAGGCCTTTATTCTAAGAAAGGAGTGTCAGGATTCAAGTCAGCTCAGCGTCGCTCTAGTGGTGTGTCTCTGTTGGTACACATTAGTGCTTTTCCACGGCTTTTGCTATTCCATTTTTATCAGCTGCGGCATCAGAAGCAGCATTCTGGGACTGCAGACTGTGGAAAATTAAAAGCTTGTGCTGATAATAGTGGACTTCATGGCTGGCAACTGTGGTAATTACCTTGTAACTGGGAGGCAGATAAAGATTAAAGATGCCAAGCCGCCTGCTCTCACACTTGCTAAACTGGCATGTTTTGCAGGCGGCCTGGAGCAGCAGAATTAGGAATGATGGTAGGGGCTAATGTCCCCCCTCTAGTAAAAAATGGAACCATTTCATTCATGTCAAAAGGATTCCAATTATGATACGGACCTATTACTTCAATAGAAATTTATCACCAGTTGGTTGTTGTTTTTCCTCCAGTAGGAAAGTATGTGAAACTTTTTCCTTGAGAACTAGCAACCCCTTCTGAGAAAGATATCTAGAAAGGAGAGCTCTGACCTGCCATTATTACAGTGATAGTGATGCCTTGCTCGGGCCAAGTGGAATCATTACTGGACAAAACCATTACAGAAAGGTTGCTCCTATATAATGAGGTGCATAAGCATATCTCTGCCGTTTGTAACTCCTGAACAGCGATCACAGATGCACTCTGAGAATCTCAGCTTCCTTTTGTGAAAACATCCAAGTCAGCTGTTAAGATTTTTTGAGGATCCACGCAAAGATAGGTGAATACGCCAGACTGCAGTCAAATCGCTTTGCTCCCAGTATCCAGGGGAGGAGACTTAGGATGTGGAGTCCTATTGACTCTCTAAAGCAGAATTAGGAGATACTGTACTCTTTGTTCTGCATCTGCCAAGATTGGTTGTTCAACAGTGGCCCCGCCGTGTTGTCTTTATAGCATCATTTTATGCTACTCCAGTAGGAAGAATCAGTGAGTCTTATTCTAAAGAATTTTTTAAAATCACCCTACAGGAAGATCAAAATGTGTTCTGTCATGTGTTCTACCATGCGGGTTACATTTGCTTTCTTGTCGAAGGTAGTTAATACACTGAGTAATTTTTTTTAAAAAAAATTAAACCTCCAATAGCAGCAGACTGCTGTTTACAAGAGCAATAAAAGGCCAACAACAGAATGGCCAGAAATTTGTAACATCAGATGAAGTAACTAGCCAATCATAGAAGCAACCCTATGTTTACATCTTGCCATCCAGCATGCTCTCCCAGCAACTCTGGTTGGCTTGTGGGATGGGCTGCAAGAGAGAGGGCCTACGTTTACATCTTGCCATCGCAGCATGCTCTCCCAGCAACTCTGGTGGGCTTGTGGGATGGGCTGCAAGAGAGAGGGACAAATGGATGACGTGGCTGGCCTTGTGCACATAATTACCCGGATGGGATCTTGGCCAGTGGCGTTTGAGACGAAATAGCAGGCCATGGAGATTAGGTAACCCAGACAAAGTATTTGCACATCTGCATGATTGAATATGGATTATTCTTTTAAGTAATCTTATCCTTCTGAAATAACACAACAGAATTAGGAACGCAGAATTCTGTCTACAGAACGCAGAATTAGGAACTACAAAGGAGCTCTCAAAAGTCATCAGAAAACCTCTGAAGAATAGGGGAACTGTTATTTATGTTACTTTAGTTTTTTAAAAATCAAAATTGACTTTAGAATTCTGAGGCACTAAAAAAAAAAACCCAATAATGAGTTGGGCCAACTTGTTTCACGCATCTATTATGTCTCTGTAATGTAAGATGTAAGCACCTTTTTTCCCTTCTTCTCTCCTAGTTCTTTCCAAGCTACCCTCCAGCAATGCCTGGAATGCCGCCCATGCTTCCACACTCAGGTCCCTTCGGGTCACTACAGGGAGCATTTCAGCCGAAGGTACAAATTTATTATGGTTGCATTGCCCATGGGCTTCGTTCTTGGTCTTCCTTGGAAAGAAGGATGATTAGAATAGTTCACTGCAGTGTTCACATGCGATACAAAGAGACACACACCTTTCTTGAACAAACAGGACATCCTTTTTAGGGCAGTACAGTGGTGCCTCACAAGACGAATTTAATTTGTTCCGCGGTTAATGTCATCTTGCGAAAAATTCGTCTTGTGAAACGTGTTTTCCAAAGGGTTTATTAAGTGCTCTTTAAAGCCATGCATATTATGCAGATGATTTTAAAAAATCCAGTCAAAAAACTTTTAACTTTTTAAACATCATAGAAAAACATTTAAAAATCAGCAAACATGAGGCAGGAACAAAAAATGGAAAACATTCATCTTGTGAAGCACAGCCACAGGAACATTTGTCTTGCAAGTTTTTTGTCCTGCGACGCATTTGTCTTGTGAGGCACCACTGTATTTCCAAATGGCCTACCTAGATATTATGGGGGCAGTGTGGGGAACACACAGGAGCCCATGACCCAAGGCTTACTAGTAACGCACCCTATATACAACTTGCTAAGGAACTGCATGTCCTCTTTGCGGGCTTCCCATTGGTATGTCCTTAACTTTTTGGGGGGCTTCCCATTGGTTTCTCCTTAACTAATGTGAGAAGCAAGCAGGATGCTGGACTAGGTGGTCTGTTCCAGTACAGCAATTCTTCAACTCTAAAAGAAAGCAGCAGCCAGCGAATTAAAACGGTGGTATGGAAATGTGCTGATGATATCCCATTATACAGTTCCTTCACTAGGCAATAGCCAGAAAGATGCAGGGTAGCTGCACTATGTTTTCTCAGTAACAAATAGTTCGCTTATAATCGCTACCGCATGCCTGCTCTTTTTTCCTGATGGAAGTATATACAGAAGAAAAACTACGCTCTGTGTGTGTGTGTGTGTGTGTGTCCAGGTCCACAGGGCAAAAGTAATGTGCATAGGCTTTGCAGGTGATGGGTGACCCTGAGTGTGTCACTTCTCCCACCCCATGCTACTAGATAAAGATATGCTGCATTTGCTGAAGGGCCTTGAAACTGCAGCCACCCGCAAACGAGCCATCAAAGAGATCGCTGCAATGAAACTGACCAGCAGAAAGACACCATCTGTAAAACCAATAAGATAAGCTGCAGCCTCTGTTTGCAATTAGCTCGTCTCCTGCCACCGTGTAACAAGCCTCATATAGGAAAGCGGAGAGAAATAATGAAGCCAGCCCTGTTTGGTGGAAATGCAGCTTGAAGATTTAAAAGGGGGGGGGGAGAGAGAGAGAGAGAGAGAGAAAACCAAGCCATAGGCTTAATCAGATTGCTATACATGACCTATAAGCTCACATTCCAGTTGTCTCTTAGAGAAACACAAATCCCGTCACAATTTGCAAACATGATAGTTCATAGAAACATGATCCGGAGAATGTTTAGCTAACGTGAGATGACATTTGTTTCTGAAAGAGGGACTATTCTCAAAATGGACATCTTCTGAATTTAATACTCTGTTGTGTGGAAAAAGCAACATAGAATTCTACATGGGCTGTCCAGAGTTACTACCGAGGGATTCCTGTCTCCCCCTCCTCCATCCTGTTCTGGAACTGGGAAGCAGCCCAACAAATCTAGCAAGCGTACAGAAGGGGGCTGGATTAAGAGAGGGGCGTACAGAGTTGCGTATCGGTAGCCGCTTGGATACAGAAGAGCCAGCTTGCTGTTTCCAGGAGGAAAACATGTTTTGTGTTTTGTTTGCTTTTGAGTTCGTTCCCTCTAGGATGCCAGGTTTCAAATTCCTTTTCCACATTTACAGACTTCTTAAATTGTAAAAATTAACTTTATATTTTAAACAGAAGAAAGGAATGGAGAGCAATCCACCAACAATTACTGGCTGAGCTGTTAAAAATTAACTCGCATTTGTTCCCAAATGATGGGATTGAGTGTATATTCTTAGAGAGAGAGAGAGAGCACATTATGCAGGAAGTAACCATGCGGCGGCCCTCCAAGTTGTAATATCTGTATGGAAACAGTCGTTTCCAGTGTGTGAATGCTGCACTGGATTCAGCTGGAACCCTCCAGCAATATTAATGCTTCTGGACTCCCATGACCGGATGTTCAACCCTTGTATATTCCTAGGTTGCTATGTCTCCTTTTCAGGGTTGCCTTTACTAAGGATCTACCCTTCTTTTCATTTAGTGTTTCTCACTTTTCTTCCAAGGAACTCAGGACAGAAATCGGTCCCACCTTCTCCTCTATTTTATCCTCAGAGCCATCCTGTGAGTCCTGAAAGTTAGTAACTGGCCCAGAGCCATACAGTGGATGTCACAGTTGAAGAGAGAAGTACGCGTGGGTCTTCCAGATCTAACCCCACTACCCTCCTTGCTGTGCTCTGCCAGGTGCTAGCTTCCTCAGGAAGCTGGTATAACCTCCTTCCCTCTTTGCTTGCCCATTGAGGTCTCAAATGCAGCGGCCTTTTGTCAGCCACGTTTCCCACTCAGTCCCAAAGGTGAGGACAGCAGCTTGTGCAAGATTGCTATCCCCGTCATTCCACTGCCAGGCTGGCCAGAACAGGAACCCACCAATATCCGAGGTGCGATCAGTTTCCAAGTCTTAATTTAGGACTCGTTTCTAACCAGATATGTTTTTGGCCCCTGCAAATCCATACTGACCCACCAAGCCAACCAAGGGATGCCTAGCTGAATGAAAATACCTTAAGATAATGCTGTGGTCTCTTAGCCCTAGACCTTTGATCAAGGACTGTAGCCACACAGACTTTTAGGCACCCATGAAACCATTTCTTTGACTTAATCTAGTCTGAATCCTTGTTAGAGTGGTCATGTCAGTTTGTGAATGCCAAAACAACTATATGGTCAATGGAGAAATGGCCGGTGTCCTTTTGACTGCCTCCACACACTGTATGCAGAAGCAGCATACTACCAAAATGGCCAATGTTTGATTAGCCGTGCCCCAATATTCGTTCTGTCATCTTGCCATCTTTGGCTGAACTGCTCCTAAATTATATATAGGTTGCTTCAATGAAGATTCCTCTCTTTAGAGAAAAGAAAAACCACCTCTTTGGAGCAGGGCAAAAGCCCCTGCACAAATCAGCCTAACCTTTTTTCTTCTCGAACCTCCTTCTTCCTCCCAAGCGGACGCTGCCACTTAGGCCCTAGATCATCATGACAGACGCCTGCGGAGGCTGAGCGTGGCATAATGAATGCTGTCCTCCCTGCCCTGAGAAGCCAGAGAGTTTGTTTTTGTTTCCCTCCCCGCTTCTCATGTCACTTGAAAAACAACCTCTTTGGAGCAGGGCAAAAGCCCCTGCACAAATCAGCCTAACCTTTTTTCTTCTCGAACCTCCCTCTTCCTCCCAAGCGGACGCTGCCACTTAGGCCCTAGATCATCATGACAGACGCCTGCGGAGGCTGAGCGTGGCATAATGAATGCTGTCCTCCCTGCCCTGAGAAGCCAGAGAGTTTGTTTTTGTTTCCCTCCCCGCTTCTCATGTCACTTCCCGGAGGCCTCGTATGTAAATCCCCGCCGCATGAATCCAACCTGACGGCAAACTTCTCGGCTACTTTCCCCAAGGCCGTCTCTCATGAGCTAGGAACTTGAAAAGGTCAAAAGTATTCAATTTACTTTGCCCGAGGAAGCCTTTCCATCTGTCTTCAGGGGGACAGGGGGACCAAAGGGCACTCCATCACTCACACTATTAATGTGATGTGACCTTAAAATGCATCATAGCTGTTACTTTTGCCTCCCGACCCATCAGTTTGCAAAAGGGTCTTGACAGCCCTTCTGCTCACAGAGAAATTGGGGAGGGGAGATCTTTACACACACGACTCAAGAGTTCTTTCGTCCACCCCCACCTTTTTTTTTATTCTTTCACTCCAAAACAACCCTTTTGACCTGTTCTACCTTAACTGCAGAAGCACATTTTACAGGTTGTTCCTGTTTGAGATCTGACAGTCATTCGGCCCACACCATGGGTTAAAATGCCTAGCTAGGGAATTAGCTAAACTTTCTGCACTCATCTTTGGGGGACAACAGGTGCATCACCATGGGAAGGAAAAAGACCAATCGCTGGCTCCAAGCCCGTCCCCTTCAGCAATTTAAAACAGGCTGCTTGTTGTAAGCGGTGTAGAATGGGAGCACCAGGTGGATATATAGCCTAGGGCTTTGGTTAACCATTGAGCTAATTAAGCCACAGAATTGCACTACAGGCAAAAAAGCACTTTGGTGTGATGTCCGATTGTATACTTCCCAAAATTAGCTTCCTTCTACTCCCCTCCCCCACAAAAACAGATCTGCAGGCACAAATTTGTAAAACGGTGTACATTGGCAGTTATGTCCACAAACCTGAGAAGCTTGTGATGTAGCTTTTGCCACATACACAGGGTTGAGACAGGGGAATATACTAGTCAGGTTAGCTTCCGTGGAAAGGATCAGCAAAGGGCAATGTGAATGGAATAGTGCCAGGGCTCCTTCCCCCATCTTGACTTCCCTGGGTTAACCAAAGAGTTTCAGGGGTCAGCATGGCAGCATCCATCCTTATCCCTGAACCCCCCCCCCCTTTTGCCCTCCTGTGTTCTTTGGAAGAAGTCAATCTATGCACCGCCATGTGCAAGCAACCTTTGCCTTCATATATGGAAAGATCTGCTTCCATTGGCTCACCACATTTATAAGCCACTGTCTCTCTCTCTATAGTCATGAGGACTGGAAGCTTTTACAATTAGAAGCTGGGATTCTCAAGATAAAGCCTCTGTGCCCAGTTGAGGCCAGGGAGGGGATCCGTCTCTTCTTAGTGGCGTCAGAATAGAGTCTGTTCACTGCTTTGCCACTGACCTCAGCAATTCGTCTCGTTGCGGGGAACCTTTCCTTTACTGCCGATACAATAATGTGACTTTACAACAGCAGTGTCTCCCGCTGCCATTAACTTTAAACTGGGATATATTGTCACGTGAGAGCACAGGTTGCTATTGTTGCATCGCAGCATCACAGACACTTCTGTTTTTCCTTTTAGACTTCGAATCCAATTGATGTTGCCAGTCGGCCCGGTGCAGTACACCACACTCTTCTTCAGAAGACCCCGGGGGTAGGTACACCGGAGAGCGTCCCCTGCTCTCTCTCTTGCTTCACATTTTGTCACATTTCCTTTATTTGTGGTGAGGTATCTCACTTTTCATACTCTCCTGTATGGGAAAGTAACTCTCTTCCCGCTTCTTACTAAATGTGCTTCTTTTTAAATAACATTCCTTGATTTTCTTTTGTATGGGACAGCGTTCAGGGAAAACTTACAATTTTTCCTCATATTTTTCTTTAGGTATCTGATCCTTATCGGGCTCCAGTACGAGTAAGTAAAATTTGTGAGGGATCTTTAAACTTTCTATTATAGTGCAAACTGTGTAGATATGAAAATGTACATTACTTTGTATTTTTAATACTCTGAAATAGAAGCCACCCCCACCCCCAATTACCCACCAAAAACATCACTTTGGGATAACAAGTGAAACTCAGCAGTCCCAAAAGGAACATGGGTACAGTATTCTTGCTCCAAAATCTAACATAAAACGGGTATATTGGTAGCTCTATGGACACTCCACATTTAATGGCAGTACACCATTTTATGTCAGATCCTGGTGAACAAAAGCAGAACAAGAATATTGCCTTTATACTCTCTTTATGAGTCTCTCAGAGACCATCTGACTGACCTTCAGCCTGATGTAGCAGAATTCTTCTTAGTTATTCACCCCACATCAATATTACCTTTTTCCATCCCTTAATTTAATTTTACTTTTGAACACTGCTTTGCAGTCCCTTTAAAAACAATAAAATCAGTGACATCCCAAACAATGCAGCTTTCAAAGCCTTGGTAGCAGGATCAGCCTTTCATACTTATGGTCAAAGGCACAGCACAATAAAATGTTGGCATGTTTTAACTAAAGAAAGCAAGTATTGAGGCAGATATTCCGCAGCAGGAGAGCGACTGAAAAGGTCCTGTTTCTTGCTAACCCCCATCACGCCTCTACAAAATATGGCATCCTGTGTAGGGTTCACACCTTAAAGCTTGTGACAGAGCTGGGTCGTAGAGAATTGATGGTCTTTCTGTTGCATGGAGAAAGTATTGTTATCCTTTTTATAATTTTTTTTATTATATATTTCTCTATGATGTAGATAAGTCATCTTATTTCAGTATCCACTTACGTGAATGGTTGTAGTCTCATTTTGTGAGCCAAATCGTTTTTCAACAAAGACAGTTTTTGATGGTAGAAGGCTGGTATTTAAAAATTAAACCTCCATTTTTAAATTCCTTCGATTGCAGAAACCTGGCAAATGGTGTGCTGTCCACGTTCAGATTGCATGGCAGATCTACCACCACCAGCAGAAGATAAAGGTAAATAAATGAATTAATTCAAGAGATGAGGAGCTTTTTGGCTTACAGACTATATTCCCACTACTACTTCCCCTGTTTAACAAAAGAAGTAGCATCTCGCAGTGTTGCTTTCATTTGTAAGGTGTGGAATTAATTAAGCCTTTCTGTCTTTTAACGTCTGTCTTAGAGCTATAAATGGTTGTGCTTGTCTGGTGGGGGCAGGGCAGCCTGGTAGCAAAAACGAGCCCAAAGGAGAAGATCAGAAGAAAAGCTGGGAGGTTTGTGGGGAAGGTGGGGGTGTACGAAGCACGCGTGTTTAATATCATTTCCCTTCTGCACTAGTACCTCCTGTGGAATATGGAGTGTTATCCTGTTCAGAGTGAAATGAGCGGTACGGTGAAGGACATTTTACAAAACATAGAGCAGGCGAGTAGAATGACAGTCCTTGTGTCAGAGGTGCTCGGGGGTTTTCTTCTGCGGTCTTGTGTGGATGGGTGGGATGGAGGGGGACGGTGGAACCGGAGAGGTAAGAATGGTAGATGTAGGGGGTTCCCTGTGTTGACGCCCTTCGACTAAAGCCCTAAGCATTCTGTACCTGGAAGAGTCCAGAATCTTCTTGCCACTTAGGTTTTGAGTGATCCCATTTCTCCTCATCATCTTACTGTTAAATTTCCACAGGAAGAGACCCAAAGGTTGCTAGCTAGAGCAGACTTTGTAGATTAAGGAAAGCAATGAGAGCCATAGACATGCATGACTATTTGGTGGAGTGTTGGCGAAACCAGTAGGAGCAGTTATAAATGTTCCAGCTAGGATGTAGAAGGGGAGCAGGGGGTATCCCCAAAACTGAGTGGGCCCATCAAGAGAATACGTTAATCCAGTGTTCACAGCAGTTAGGGAAAGACTGAAACTAAAGGATGAGCCAGCTAAAGAAACTCATCCAAAATCCAAGTATTTAATACTCTGTGATCAGTTAATTTCTGTAGAAGCTGTTTATAATCATCATCTTGTGCCACCAAGTCAGTTCTGATTTATGTGAGTCCTTTTCAGGGTTTCCCAGGTACAGAATACTCAAGTTTACCAGTCCTGTCTTCTAGGGGGAGCCTTGGGACTGTGCAGCTTGCCCAAGGCTACACAGACGGGCTCCTCACCTAGGAGGCACCCAGCAGGGAATCGAATTCCCAACCTCTGGCTCTGCAGCTGGATACCTCAGCCAGCCAGCCAAAGCTGTTAGGTGACTTCTGCCAACCAGCCAGCCAAAGCTGTTAGGTGACTTCTAAATGACACAGAAATCGTTGAGGATTACGGAGCCACACACATCTAGGAGCCTTGAACAGAAGCAGGTCGAGAACCAAATAGCTGTTTCTGCTCCTTTCTCCCCATTACCCTCACCACAGCTGCTTTGTGTTTTGCTCTTTAATTTATTATTTTATTTATTATTTATTTAGTTAAAATATTTCTATCTCGCTGTTCTCCCCAAAAAGACCCAAGGTGGGTTCTTATGAGTATTTACTGCTACAGATGAGTAACCCATGTCTGGAAAAAGCCAGAAATGTGTTCAGCCCACATTATACTGACCCAGAGATCCCCCCCCCTGTTTTAAATGGAACTGGGTTGCATTCACAGTCTGTTTCAGTGACAGCACCATTATGTGTAAGGAGAAACAATTAGATGCATACACATACACTCTGGTAGAACTTAATGATGTTAGAAGTGGCTCTATCAGGTTTTCCAACAGCCTTCCGCACCTTAGTGTGATATATGGCTAGACCTGTGTTGTGTATGTAGCACCAAACATGGTTTTGCTCGATAGCTTGGGCGAAACCCAGACATTCTAGATGTGTTTTAGATGCCAAAGGTAGCAGCCCCGTTTCCCCTCCTCTCTCCCAGTAATGTATAATAAAATGAGGTGACATGCCCTCATTCCACTCCGCAGCTTCCTCACCCCAGCGAGCAAGACTCAGCGAAATCAAGAGTGCCGTCGTGCCAACTCACTGTGGTCTTTTCCAACACATTACCCAAGTGGCAAAATAGTAGTTTGCTTGACCCTTTTTGACAGTAGCCCCAGCATTCCCACAAAATCCGCCCATTATTGCCCGAGTGCCGCCGACTGTGGTCACAGAATAAATACCAAGTTTCCTTAGGACATTTGCGGCTGTCTCACCCTCACGAGAAAAGTATGCTGCTGTTCCAAGGGACACTATCATTTCCCACTCATTTCATTATAAGCCAGTTTTAAAAACATGTGAAGGGACGCTGCACCCTGGACACACATGGAAATGAATGGGCCACTGAAATCCTGAGAATGCAGCCGTGGAGTCTTTCCGCAACCTCTTCCGTTTCCAAAAGTCCTACATCTTGCAGGGGTTTTTTTTGGACTCAGGACAGGGCGGTCTCTGCCAGCCTCTTGTCTTCTTCTGTCTGTGTCTCTCTCCGAGATAAAGCAACCAAGCACGCGACTTTTGTCATCCATTTCCTTTGAGGGCTAGCCCCGTCCGCAGCCTTCAGCCTGTGGGAGAGTTGTGTCAGAGCGAGGCTGCAGACTGATCCGAAGGGCACACGACCCACTTGGCATATCGCATTGCATTTTCCTGCCGAGCTCATGCCATGGGCTAAGTGCTCACTTCAGCGCTTATCTGTGGAGAAGGCCAGCAGCTGAGAAGCTGTAGAATGAAAAAGGCCTTGTGGAGGGGCTGTGGTCAGACCCTGACCCGCAGGATGTGACCCACGGAGGCGGCTGTCTCTCTGGCTAATTCTCCCTGGCAGCACTAACACAAGTGTGAAGTCTGAGCCCTTTACCGTCAGCGTTTCCCCCCACCCCTTCCCCTTCGGTGGTAAAGAAAGGAAACATGTATAATGAGATCGTTGTTTGTATCCTTTGACAGCAAATGCAGCTGGATCCCCACAAGCTAGAAATTGGGAAGCTTGATCTGTTCAGCCGACCTCCTGCCCCTGGGGTGTTTCCAGGGTTCCATTACCCTCAAGATCTTGCCCGGCCTCTCTTTTCTACGACAGGTGAGAACGAAGTGAACAAGAGTGCCATTAATAAGTGCTGGAGTATTGTCAGAAAGGCGTGGGGTTTCTTTCTTTTTTTCTTTCTTTAAATTGCTGGATCACCCTGTACACAACAGTGTGATGCTGATTGGTTTTTTTTCCCCTCTTTTTTCTTTCGAACCAATTTATAGTGCAGTCCTGAATATTTCTACCCAGGCCCTGTTCTTAACAGTGGGGTGTCCTCCCAGGCTAGTGGTGTATAGGGCCACATTGTCAGAATCAGATTTGAAAACGCAGCTGAACTATGTGAGTGTCTTGTAGCGAGGTCCCTTCCTTTTTGATATACATCAAGACAGTCCTTCCCCACACAACCAAAGAAAGGATTAACAGCATGAGGTAGACCTCTGCAATTCTTTAAAATATACAGGATAGAATTAATACAACAGTTGGTAGGTTGCAAGCCTCCTATGGCAAGCAGAGCCATCGGCATACTTTCTGCATTTTGTCCCTTGCCTAGGCCCTTCATATTGACCAGGTGTTGCCCTGGGGTCACAGATAGAGAACATGTGGCCTTCCAGATGTTTTTGGACAGCAGCTCCCAACACCCCTCAGTGTATCCATCTCCTTGCCCTTTTCTTTTTAAAATATTTTAACTTTTCTCTGATGTATTTTTACCAACATTACCTGTTCCTGAGTTGAGTGTGCTTTCCGCGTATCTCAGAAATGCCTCAAAGCGAGAGACATCAAGTCATGATAATGAACTGATGGCCAGTTTCCCTGCAACGTGTCTGTCCTAGAATAAGGTTTTCTGATTACATCAGTGATATCAGTGTATTCTCTGTATCCATTATTGTGCATCATACAGAAAAGGATGGGACTGTGCGTACAAACAATTATTACACGTGGAGGGGGGAGAAATAATGGTATTGCCATCACTGGTAGGCAGTTAGTTACATAAAATGCTTGGAGAACATATGAAGAGCATAATATTCAAAGCTAGTCACAGTCAACTCCCATCAGTGAAACTAGAACACAATCCAATAGGCCTGGAGATAGGATAGGATTAGACTGGATTTTATTAAAATGAAACTAGACTAGACAAAATGAGATTAAACAAGATCAGGGCAGATTAAAATCAGATGGCGCAAGATTAGATTGGATAGTACAGGAATAGTTCAGATAAGATTAAAATAGGTTAGACAAAATAAAATTAGAATGGGTGGGAATTGATTAGATTAGATTAAACAAAATGAAATACAGTCAAATTACATAAAATAAAATATTTACATAGGGTTACATTAGATTAGATACCACACCATACCCTGTACCATCACCTCAGATTAGAATAGATTAGTTTTTATAGGCTGGGATAGGATCAGATATAAAAAATCAGGATTGCACTGGGCAAAAATCTGATCTAATCCCCACCTACCTAACGTAATCCAGTGTAATACCACCAAACCTAAGCCAGTTCTAGGTGGGATTAGAGAGGACTGGATAGGATAGGAACTGAGTTCCTACAGAGGCATTCACATCATGGGCTGAATTCTGAATATCTGGCCATATCTCCAACACATCTTACAGTATTGGTTGGATATTATGTAGGAAAGAGAATGTTCCATGTATGGCGAGTCATCAACAGTAGCCCCTTCACACCTTTGCTTGTGTTCTGGCCATCTACATTAGGACTGTTGGTGCTAACCCATTGGAAGGCAAATCTTTGACATAGTTGTAATAGGTCACATTTTGTAACATTTTTTACAAAATGAGAAGCCCTCAGCCATCCATCTGTCAGTGTTCCCAATCCCTAGCCCTCCCACCAAGCCTAGAAGAGTGGTAAGAACACCCCATCATAATTTGACACATGCATTCATTGTATGCAGCTCCCTCTGTTAGTCACCACTGTCTGTAACAGCCCAGGTCTCAATGCTTGATCACACCTGTCTTCAACTGCTGCTCAAGAACAAGTACTTCAGAGAGAAATGACCAAAATACAAAGGCAGATAACATTTTAAAAGCTGCAAGAAAACAGCTAAAGCACGAGATTATCTGGATTATCAAACCCAGTTGATCATTTAGCATTAACAAATCCATGCTTTTAAAATTGCACGTCAGATTCTGCCTAATACTAGATGAAGGATGCTAGCTTGACCATCCTCCTCTTGATGGACACCCTGCTTTTTCCCCATGAGGCACATCACTGTCCATCTCCTCTCGGCACAGGGCTCATGGGTGGATTTGCAGGCCCTTGCAAATAACATATGGCCTCCTATGCTCACTCCCAGAGTCGATGTGACTGTAGTGGCTCTGTGGGTTTGTGTACAACTGTGAGCCAGGAATTCCAGATTTCTCCAATTTCAAACTTAGGAGAGGGTCTTGGGGAAGCCACAGCTCAATTTATCCAAATCTGCAATGTGGGGATATTTGTCTACTGTACCTTAAAGATTAGAGCAGGGATTATTCAAGGGCTGGTGCAAAGCACTGTCCCTCCCAGACAGCTGTGTCTTCCAGCTTCAGCTTAGTCTGGTGTTTATCTTGCACAGAAGAACTGATACATTTCCAAGCTAACATCTGTTCCAGCCTGCCTAACTCATATATCTTGATTTAGCATCTTGCTCGGTCAGTAGATACTCTTCTAGGGGTATTCTGAAAGCATATTTGAAACATATTGGTATTTTTTATTATTATTTGTATTCACAGGTTCTGCCCACCCGCCTACCACTCCCTTTGGACCCTCACCACATCACAGCAGCTTCCTGCCTACGAGCCACTTGGCAGGTAGGTGTAAGTAAACCCTACTTTCACACTTATCTTTATGCTTTATATCTTAGTTTCCTCTTGCATCAGCTGTGTCCAGTAACTAATAGCTAGAAGCAGTGGAAGGGGCTTAACCTCTACTAGAAGGGCAACTCCTACACAACATTCCCTGGTGAATCAGAAAATCTGTTTATATACACCCTGGCAGAATACTAACAAACCAAATTATCTTCTTCAGCTCTACAGATTCCTATATACTTCTGCAAAACATTTCAGGAAAAGTTGCTTAGTTTCAAATAAATTTATTCACCATTGAAAAATCTGCCTCTGTTTCCAAGAAATGTGCCTAGGTGAATTTCAGAAGGAATTGGGAGGTGTGTCCTTTTCATTTACAGAACACACTTACAATAATCTGTTATTATTGCTAGGCAATAAAAAAATTAAGTTGTCCCAACCGCTGCAACGTTAAAGTGAGGAAGAGAAGAGAAGGAAATGGACATGGTTCTTTCAACTGTATATACAAGTGTGATGAAAAAGTCAAATCAGGCTACTTATGTAGTTTTTTTTAGTTCCCACAACACTGATGGGAAGCAAAACAAAAATCAAACACCTGCATCAGTATTAATTTCTTAGTTTGTTCCCCAAATTCAATTTGTAAATTTCTCTCATTAGTGGTTGTTGATGAATTTGCCCAAAAGAAGCCAAAGACTATTCACCTTTATTTTTACATAATGTTCTAACTCTTATATTGAAAGAAACAGATTTCGGCATACGAGTTTCCAACTTTCTGATAAGTTCTCAGTGTTATATATTATATACTGCAGATCAATGGCTCCCAACCATGTGTAACCTAGGTGTTATTGGACTACAACTCCCAGAAACCCCAGCCAGCACAGCTGATGGTGAAGGCTTCTGGGAATTGCACTCTAAGAACACTTGGGTTACCCTTATAATACATAGACATTCATGTTTGTAGCTGTGATGGCACTGGCCTGGAAAACTAACTGCTGAGCCCACTCCACTTGTTATCAGTGCTGGGGCAAGTGAAGGATAGTAATTAAGCTGTTAGACCAATTAAGCTAATTTATTGAGATCATTGACAAAACACCCATATTTAGTGGAGCTAACAGGTCACTCTGAAACCTTCCTTGCTGGCCAGATAACCTTTGACAGTATATATAGGCTTGCACAGAGATTTTAAAGATGGTGTAGAATCTACAGACAAAAACAATCTTGACTGTTTGAATTACAGTGGTGCCTCGCTTAACGAGCGGACTGTTTAACGACGAATCCGCATAGCGATGTGGATTTTGCGATCGCAAAAGTGATCGCATTGCAATGTTCCTAATGGCCAAAAATTGCATTCCGATGATCGGTAAGCGTTTTGCTTACCGATCTTCGCATTGCGATGTTTTAAAAACAGCTGATCGGCAGATCCAAAATGGCCGCCGGAAGAAAAAATGGCCGCCCGCAGGGTTTTCGCGCAGTTTCCTCACATACCGGGCGGCAAAAATGGCGGCCATATGGAGGATTTCCGCATAGCAGTGAGTTTTCCCCCATAGGAATGCATTAAATGTCTTTTAATGCGTTCCTATGGGGTTTTTAGTCCCGCATAGCAACGAATCCAGATAGTGACGATTTTTTCAGAATGGATTATCGTCGCTATGCGGGGCACCACTGTACTAATAAATTAAGCATCACAATTCTGTAATAATTAACTTCATGTGACATTGTTCTTTAACAATTTACTAATTTAATTACGTTCAATAAAAAAAAAACAGACCCAGGATATTCGTATAATTTTACATATCCAATAGAGCCAGTTAAGGGTCAGAGGTTACCATGGTATGCTACATTCCATAATATTTCAAGCTGTGTAGGCTTATAGTACAGCATTGAGGCCCACAGTCATCAAAAAGAGGTTTTTTAACTTTATCAGTGTATTCCTGCTTGTAGTTAGTAACTCATTAAAATAAGAGTACGTAACTCTCACATCTTCTATTTGTACTGCTAGAGCAAACACCATGTTTTACTCAGTATTCTTGTTAAGAGTCAGATTGCCCTTTACAGAGTTGTAGCTGCCCTCAGAACGTGCTTCATAGCGAGAAAACAGAGAAAGGTAGAAGATTCAGCTAAAGAAAATAGGGAACGTATTATCGTACACAGACTGTGGTGTCACGTTAATGCAACAACCTGTTGATACTCTGTGCAGTCGTCGGCGGGTTTGTCACATTCTTGCTTCATAGTTCAGCCTGCAGACCCGCAGTCCAAAGGGGTGAAGAGACAGGATCAGTATATCAAAGACCATTAAGGACCCTGCTAAGGTTTCTTCATCAGAGCACCTTCTCCTGCCCTGTTTGCCACCGCCAAAAATATAAATAAATGAAATATCCTATTGGAAATTGGCTTACGGCATTTTGCATTGCTTGCTGTTGTGATTCCAAAAGTGGATCATATTCCAGCTCGGTCGCTGTGCCTGTCATTTTTGCTCTTTGGCTGTTAACTTTTAGCTTCTCTCGCACTCTCTTGGCACACACAGAGCTTAACGCCAGCACCTGTTTTGTGGAGTAAGTGCTGAAATCCCTCCTCCGTTTTTAACATGCTGGGAATGTTCTGTGCAAAGAACCTTGCAGTGAGGAGGATCAGCTTAAAGTCTGGCCTAATCCTACTTGGATTCAGACCATTAAAAAGAATAGGGGGAGGGGAAGAAGGGGTGGATTTCATTCTCCAGCATTCTTGGCTAAATGCCGGCTAAAACCCTGTTTGCCTTTCCAGATCCATTTAGCAGGTCAAGCACCTTCAGCGGCCTTGGGAACTTAGGCAGCAATGCCTTTGGAGGATTAGGCAGTCATACTCTGAGTAAGTACTGGCTGGGTTACTTGCAGACAAACCTCCTCTCCAGAGAAACCACATGCTCACATTGAAAGCAGCTGGTGGTAGTTTGTTTAAAACAAAGTAAACCTCTTATTTCCTATCCTCCATTCTGCTTTTTGAGAAGAAAAGCAAAATAAAATACTGCACCTAAGTGTTCCAGGTCTCTGGGGCAGGAGCTTTTCCATAATTTGTCCCCTCCCCTCCATCCGGCAGCCATGGTTCTGTTACATGTGTTCAATTACTGTCCAGAGAAAGTGGGCCCAATAGATTCTTAATCCCCCTAATCGTTACGCATCGCAAGTCTGCTGACACTATTTGATCCAAGGCA